TTTTTTTTTTTTTTTTTTACCATTTGTAGCAAGGATAGCCAATTCTGAAGTTTTCTTTGGCAAACCATAAAAGATTTTATTAAAACAAACCTTCAGGAAATGAAGCTAGGAATACGTAGGACAGACATATATTATCAGGATTATTTTTCATTTTCCCAAAACTCTCTAAAGTGGAAGCTGAAATTTCATGCTAGTAATTATCACTACTTGTAAGAACATACCAAAATAGCCATATTTCAGAGTCAACATGTCATATTGGAAGAAGTTAGCAGTTCTTAAGCAATAAGTATTTCATGAATGTAAAGCTTTAATTCTTTACCCAGTCACCCCTGAAGTCTAAAAATGTTTCTGCATGTTATGGCCAAAGTCCAGTGGAAGGCTAATTTATAAGCAGGAAATAGACTGATTAGAGTTCTCTATGGCAGGTTGGAATGCAAAATTTCTTTATTCAAAACTAATCCAGAACTCATGAGGATATGTGAGCATAATTGATATAAATGAGTTGTCTCTGTTGTTTTATTCCAGCATTCCAAATTAAGGTATTAAAGTAGATATTTTATCCATGATAACCTTGGTGGAGTACTCTTGCTTAATTATTTAATCAAAAATAAAGCCATTAAAACATCACAGACACTACTCACCACAAACTGCTAGCTGAATTAGGGCCAGTTTAATTATCTGTGTATCATTGCATGTACACAGATATGGCTGTAAAAGAGAAGGAAAGAACAGCCATGTTTCATCTCTGGTGTATGGCTAAGCCATATCTTGCAGTAAAAATAAATACCATATGAAAAAAATAAACAATATTTGAGATAATTAGGTGCTGAGATACGTGGCAGTAGCAGTTCTCTCTCATGTGGGGCGTTCCGTGTGTGCACTGTAGTTCCTAGTGCTTTAGCTATGTCCACTCACTTCATTTGCATTACAAGCCTATGAGCTTGGTAGTATCTCATCCCTCTAACCAGTGAAGATAAAGAAACCAAGAGGTTAAATGACTTCCCACGGTTATGCAGGAACCAGGATTAAAACTCAGACAGTGTAACTTCATAACGCATGCTCTTAACCAAGTAACCAAGTCAGCCAGGCTCTTCTGCTTCTCTAGCAAGCAATACTTAACCCTTCCCCAAATTTTCTGTAGCCAAACAATTTGGTGCAACTTCAGGTAGAATCATTAAGATGACTAAATTTACTGACAGTGTCTCTCATGGTCCTCTCGCCTCCTCTGTTTGAAAATTTATCTTGGACTGCTACTATTTTGTCCACTAACTTCCCTCCACTTGGGGAACAAGGCTCCTTCTTCCTTTTCAAGGCTGTGGAAGCTTCCACTCCAGCAATTAATTCTATCTCCCACCAGATCTTTTTAATTGATCTTTTTTAATGGTCTTTTTAAAATTAATTTTATTGGTTCATTTAAGGTATACAATGTAATGACATTCATCATAGGAAATTTGCACCTTTACATAATACATCTTGGTTCTTATTTTTTTCCCATTCCCCTGCCCTCCCTTCAACCCCTCCACCCCTCCCTATCTACAAAGACTGTTTCCATTTCTTCTTTTTCTCATATTAATTCCTTTGCCTTCTTTCTTTTCCCCAGCCCTTCGACTTCCCCTTTGCACCTTTTCTTCCTATTTCACGTTATCTATTATACCTTTTAGTCCTTATTTACACTTTCAGTTTCTCACAGTAGAAGAAACTATTCAGTATTTACACATCTGTCCTATTTATTTCACTTAAGAATATGGCTTCAATGTGCACCCATTTAGCTATAAATGTCTCTAGCTTCTCATTCTTTATGGCTGAGTAGTACTCCATTTTATTAAAAACCATATTTTGGGGGGCCTGGGATTTAGCTCAGCGGTTCGGTGGCCTGCCTCGCAAGCACAAGGACTGGAGTTTGATCCCCGGTACCAAAAAATAAATAAATAAAAAATAAAAAAATAAAAACCACCTTTTTTTAAATCTAGTCTCGCATTGATGGGCAATTGGGTTGCTTCATAGATTTAGCTATCGGGAATTTTGCTGCTATGAACATTGGTGCTCATATATTACTGTGGTATAATTCTTTTAATTCTTTGGAGAAGATACCCAGCAGGGGAATAGCTGAGTCAAAGGGGTCTTCCATTCCTAGTTCCTTGAGGAATCTCCACACTGATTTCCACGGTGACTGCACTCAAACTATCCTCACACTTCTGTGTAGTGTTTACTTTGACTGCAAGGCATTTGCATCTTTATTTCTCTGGAAAAAATAAATCTCTTCACAATCCCATTCCATCTCATCATCTAGTACTCACTTCTTTACCTTGGTTTTGCTGTTGTCGTTGTTTGGGAGGATTGTTTGTTTGGTTGGTTTGGTTTGGGTTTTTGTTTTGTTTTCTTTTCTTTTTGTGAGACTGGGTCTCGCCATGTGGTTCAGGCTTGACTTGAACTTATTATGTAGTACAGGCTGGCCCCAAACTCAAAGCAATCCTCCTGCCTCAGCCTCCCAAGTGCTGGGATTATAGATATGTACCACCACACCTGGCTACTTCTTTATCCTCGTTTTAAAGAAAGATGACTAACATGGTGAAATTGGTCTACAAGTTTTAATCAGTGGCCAAAAAGGAATCATGATGTGAATCTTTTAACTGGTATCTTGTAAACAGGATAAGAGTTTGGATCCAGGTAGGTACCCTGTGTAAAAATGTGAATCTGAGCACCAATCACATGCAAAAGGAGTGCCATGATATCTATCTCACTGGGTTCTCATAAGAACTACAAGTGATCAAGTATGAAAAAATTCTCCAAACTAATCTCATAGCACTAAATAATTGATAAATATTTGTTAAATGTGAATTATAATGATTATAATATGAAAGAAAATTATGCCTTAATAATCAAAGAGGAAGGAGTTCAAATGGAAGAAAAAGAAAGGGTACATTCTTGTGAGGGAGAGGGAGATGGAGATCAAAATGAAGACAGAGGGCCAGGGATTTAGCTCAGTGGTTCTGCTGCCTGCTTCACAAACGCAAGGTCCTGAGTTCGATCCCCGGTACCAAAACAAAACAAAACAAAACATGAAGACAGAGAGAATGCAATGATGTGACCATTAATTCCTGGACATATTCTGTAATTCACTCATTGAACAACCATATATATTTTTTTTTCCAGTCACTTCATGGCACTTGAGATTCACAGTAATCTATGCAGACAGGTTCTCCCATCTGACTCTGCTCTCTACAAGTTGATCCTTCTAAAAACCACCATGATGGAGAGTTTTCCTTGTTGGAAACTCTTCCAAAGTTCTCTCCTGGCTACTTCACAAATTTCAAACCCCTTAAAAATGTCAATGTTTTAAAAATTTTTTTGAAATCCAATCCATTTTTTCAGCCTAATGTCTCACTACTTCAACTTTTCCCCTACATGAACTCTCAAAGGGTATTTTAAAAATAACATCATACAGAAACTGTAAAACTCCTCTAAAATTTTTATATCAATGCATAGTTGAGTATGGCTGGGACTTTTGAGAGGATTGAGGACAAAAAAGGAATTTGGGAGGAAGGTCAGACTCTAAAATGGACAGTCTATGCCACACAAGGAAGCCTGCTTGTTCTTGTTCTTAATAGAAATAAGACACTTCTAACAGGGAAGCAAGCAGAATTGTGGGTTGGAAGGTAATTCTGGGGGCAGCTGTAGCACAGGTTTGAAAGGAAATGTCTGGGACCCCAAAAGGCAGCTAAGAGCATCCTGCTGTAACAATGAGGGTGGCGGTGCAGACTTTCACAGCTGAATGAATAACTCCAGGAGCTGAGGGCGTAGATCTTTCCTAACATTCCAGGGTTATCAACAAGGACCAATTGGCACAATGGTATAACAGTTAGGTTGGCCCTGGAATCAGACTGCCTTTGCCCAGATCCACTTTCCCACTTACTAGGTTATGACTCTGGCCAAGTTACAATGCTACTTTGGTCAAGTTACCATATCTCTCTTAGATCCATTTTTCCATCTGTGAAGTAGAGATAACTGTCACACCTACATCAAGAGATGCTGTGGAGAAAAAAGTTAACAAACCACACCAACTTCTTGGCATCAAAGAAGGCTTATGAAGTGCTCTATAAATATTTGCTAGCTACAAATTATATCCCTAAAAAGTAAAAAGTAAGATACATTATTCATAACTGAGGCCTCCCTTCCCACTCTGTGTGTTTTACAACTGAAGTCTTGATGTCCATAACCAATTTCTGGTTTTTTGTCCATGAGTCACAGCCCCAATGAAACTTTTCTGATGCTTTACAAACCAAGATCGGGTTTATATCTTTAAAAAAATAAATACAGTATATGATTATTTGATGATTTATTCTTACCCCATGACAGTAATTTTTTAAAAAGCCACCAACTAGATTATAAACTCCTTACTGTCATAAACTAACCATCCTCACAGCCAGTGCTTCTAATGTTTCATCACCCTGGGGCCTGCCGCTGACAAAGTCCAAGAAAGACTCTTATTAAGAAGTCTTGAGGGGGCAAGGATTTAGCTCAGTGGTGCTGCACCTTCCTTACAAGTGCAAGGTCTTGAGTTTGATCCCTGGTACTGGGCAAAAAATGAAGTCTTGAGTTCCTACAATTTAATCCTCTGTTGATTGCTGTTGACTGTTTTATTATTTCCACAAAGTCTTTGCAAAAATTAAAACTCACACCTTCTCAATTAAGATATTTTTAACTTTTAAGCGCTATGCTATAATTTAACAGGGATGGTGGTCTTTTATCCTGTTCAAGTTGCAATGCACTGCATCATATGGGCAGGGATCTGAGTGCTTCACGAACAGCAGTTTGGATGGGTGTGAATATTGGTTGGCTGTACTTAGTTTAGAAACTCAAGGCAGCTTGGCCAGTGAACTAAACCAGTGCCAGTGCTCCACTAAAAGATCCTGGGCAGGGCTTTAAACTGTCTTGGGAGAACAGCCAGGCAAATCCATGTGCTATCCAGATTCCGAAGTATGGGGCAGGGGGTGAGAAGGAAGCCCGCAGGCATGCTGAGGGCCAATGGCAGCCCGCAGGCCCAACTCCTGCGCCATTCTGCTGTGGTACTTCACCGGGGCTGCTGGCGCCTCACCCATCCTAACTGCAGCCACTCCAGACCCTGTGGCACAGGGCATTCTCCCTGACATTACGCCAGAATCAGGCTGCTCTGCCTGCCACCAACAGCCAAAAGACAGGATTCCACTGCTGAGGGATGCCAGGAAAACCGTGAACTCAGGTCCAATTTGGGAAGCAAATCACCTCACAGATTCTTGCTCAATCTATGAATAAACTTTTACCATTGGAAAGCATCAGTATACCCCTCTTTCTCCTTCCAAGGAGACCATAATCTCTCTGTCATATAACCTAGGTCCTGCACTTACAAAGAGTTGCCATATATATTTACTAAATACACACAAAATGTTTCTGCACACTCCATTCTATGTTCCCTCCCAAGGGGTACAACAGAGGGGACATAGGGGACAGGACACAAGAAATGTAGGATTCCCCCTTCCACCAAATGTACAATAGGCCAGCCACATTCTTTCCCATGTATTAGAACATGTCTGAGCTTGAATCTTGATTAATGTGAGTTTCAGAATCTAAACATAATTCCAAATGTTGATTAACAGAATGTGTGATTAAGCTAATTTAATAATAAACGTCAAAATCTAGACAAATTAGAAGTCTACTTCAAATACAAATTC